TTGCAGAGGCTCCCTGCTCCGCAGCCCAGCCGCAGTGCCTGATGACTGCAGGAAGGCTTATGGCACTTTGATCTCTTTTACTTATCATAGAATCATAGAACCATGGAATGCTTTGGGTTGGAAGGGACCTTTAGGGTCACCCAATCCAACCCCCCTGCAGTGAGCAGGGACATCTTCAACCAGACCAGGTTGCTCAGAGCCCTGTCCAGCCTGACCTTGAATGTTTACAGGGATGGGGTCTCCACCACCTCTCTGGGCAACTGGTGCCAGTGTTTCACCACCCTCATTGTAAAGAATTTCTTCCTTATATCCAATCTAAACCTACCCTGTTTAGTTTAAAACCATCACCCCTTGTCCTATCACAACCAGCCCTGCTAAAAAGTCTGTCCCCACCTTTCCTATAGGCCCCCTTTAAGCACTGAACAGCCACAATCAGGTCTCCCCGCAGCCTTCTCTTCTCCAGCCTGAACACCCCAAACTCCCCCACCCTGGCCTCATAGGAGAGGGGCTCCAGCCTTCAGAGCATTTTTGTGGCCTCCTCTGGCCCCGCTCCAACAGGTCCATGTCCTCCTTGTGCTGAGGGCTCCAGAGCTGGGCTCCAGGTGAGGTCTCACCAGAGCAGAGTAATCCTGTGTGAGCTCTCTTACTGACCTCGAGATGGACAGAATTGCATCCTGAATGCATCCATTGACTTTTGAGGAGCCCTGAGTGGTGGGAAGAAGCCAAACATGAGCCATGGTGGCAAGCAAAACCGTATCCCATACAATGGGCCAGGTGCTCCTTGCAGCCCATAGTCCTGTGCCTGCACACTTTTCGCCATGATAGGCTAACCAGCCCCTTCAGAGACCGGTGCAAGTAGCCCTGGACCACAGGCCAGACCCTACCAGTCCCCCAAAGCCTTTTGCTTCCTCTGTTTGCCCTCCTCCCCTGGGGGAACAGGTGCAGAGCAGCGCCCACCCGGCCAGGCACAGCTGGCCCTGCAAAGCAGGGCTCCCGTTGCACGCCTCGGGGCTCCTGGCGTGGTGTCAGCGTCGCTCTGGGCACCCCGCTTGGATCCTGTCTTATTTATGGCACATCCTTCCTGTCTTCTCCCAGCTATTATTGCCTGAAATATTGTCGATTCCGGCTGTGTTTGATTGCAAACTCTCTCAATCTACAAATTTCAGTGACAAGCACTACAGCAGCTCATTTGCATGCCAAAGTGATCAGTCCGGAACTGCTCGTTACACAAGTGAATAAATAAATAACGGATACATTAAAGAATGGGAAACAATCAGCCAAATTAACCGATAGATGTCAACTTGCAACCAGCCCTGTCCTTCTTAACAGAGAGCAAGAGGAGGGAGGATGGGACAAGCCTTCCCAGCATTGCGCAGGGCTGCTCAGCGCTCATCCATCTCCCCTCATCCCATGAGCTGGCAGGGATGCATGTCAACACCAGGAGATGGTGAGCAAGGGCTGGAGCGTGAAATCCTGGCTTTTAAACCGCATACCTGTCTTGGCTCCTCACACTTGCTCTGTGTAAGCGTCTGCCATAGGAATAGCACATCCCCTTGGGACAGCAATGGGACTGTGTTAGACAGCACACAGCAAGGGGCCTTCAGCCCAATTCTCAGCTGATGTCTCAGGGAATCCTTCCGGGGTGCATAAACCATCCCAGCTTCTTGTTTTGTTGATGGAAGCCTGGGAGAGTTCAGAATTCATGCAAGCACCCTTGCATTGCGCGGGAAGTTTACCTGGCAGTCGGAGGCACCGGTTGAGCATTTTGGGCCAGGTCAGCTCAGCAGCTGCGAAATCAGCTTGTGTGGTTCTTCGGACATTGTTAAGCCAGCGGTGACTGCTGAAGCATGGAGGCTCTGAGCTGTCCTGACAGGAATGGGCAATGGGATGAGGGGAAATGGCCTCAAGTTGTGCCAAGGCAGGTTTAAGCTGGACATTGCGAACAATTCCTTCCCCGCAAGGGCTGTCAAGCACTGGAAGGGGCTGCCCAGGGAAGGGGTTGAGTCCCCACCCCTGGGGGTATTTAAAAGCTGGGCAGATGAGGTGCTTAGGGCCAGGGTTTAGTGGTGGGATGGCAGGGTTAGGGGAACGGTTGGGCTTGGTGATCTTAAAGGGCTTTTCCAGCCTAAGCGATTCTGTGATCTGTGATGTATGACGTCCTGGTGGGTGGGGGTGGCAGCCTGGGGTGCTGGTGGCTGGCGCCAGCCGTAAGCGCAGTGCCTGCCAGCACTGATGCCCTCAGCCGCCCTTGTCGCTGTCTCCGCACAGTGACGGGTAGGTGTTCGCCACCTGATTTCTCCTCCTCTGGCAGCTCCTGTCTGTCACCGCTCCGCAGGGAAGGCGGCGGAGGAGCAGCTCTCCCTGCCGCCTGCTGTCAGGCAGCCCGTGCGTGCCTGCGGGCGCCGGGGCTGGGAGGAGGAGGCTTCGCAGGGGTAGCCAGGAGGGGCTGCCGGGCTGGGCTGGCAGTGGCCTCTCCTGACTGGCACCGCCGGGTGGGAGGGCAGCGGGGAGGTGAAGGAGCTGCCCATGGCCCATCCCGAGGGGCGAGGGCTGCTCGGGGTCGAACCCAGCTGGAGCGCGGCTGGCGCCGGGCCTGCAGCGGAGCCGGGAGACC